TATGCCATCGTCTGTAGTGTGATGAGACCTTTCCTTACTTTAACTATGCTAACGTTATTTCAAGGGTTTTCATTCTGTTCGTTCTCTCGATGTCTATACCCCACATCGACATGACTGACATAGGTATGCTGACAATATGGGTATTCAAGAAGAATCCATGTCAAGGAGGCTTTTGCCGGGTTTACCTGTGCTCTCGATTCCTGCATCACTCACTGTCTCTCATATTCATATTGTAGCGATTTTGTTTAAAAAAAAAAAATAGGTATCTGGTCTAGCAGTTAAAAAAGTTGCTCTCGTTTGGGAGACCCAATTTCGAAACCTCGGCAATGTGATTGTATGTGTGAGAGAGAGGGTGGGTGGGGAGGAAAGGGGGGGGGGGGGGTACATCCTAACCTGTACCGTTCAGGGCGACTGTACCTGCCATGCCACCCTAAACCTCAGGCTCACGACACCTGGTCTTTCCCCCCCCCCCCTTCCCAACCCTTTTATCCTGCGGCCTACAACCTGTTTAAAATTGGCTAGTACTGATAGTAAAGACTAATAATTTTTAACCTTGCCGTTTTGTTTAAGTGGTTTGTCTGTCTGTCTAAAATTGATGTCGTCTACATCACATAAAAAAAAAAAAGTAAAGATCCCTTTTCACGCCTTTCGGCGCATCAGGCATATAGGCAGAGCGTCCCATATTTTTTTACAGACCGATCGGCACTCAGTGGGTAATGTGGTCAGCATTACGCCGGCCGTCTTTACTTCCCCAGGACAGCCATCCTGGTACCCATTTGTGGCTGGGTCGACGTCCTATACTACAATAAAAATCCACGCAGCCCGCAGTGGATTTCGATCGCGGTACGTTGGATTACGAGTCGGACTCGCAACGCCGTAGCCAAGGACGCCACGTCTACATCATATACACCACCCTAACATCTATTGCTATTTCATCTGTGTATGACGCTTGGTCACTCAGAGAGCTCAAGGTCATTTATTAAAATCCAAACTTTTATAATATGGTGTCATTTCTGGTCGGGAGAACTTTTCAGTATAATTTTCACTTGGATAGATGAGATTCTATTTATGGCTCAGATAACCTCAACAGCTGTCGGTGTCTATGACTTAGACGTTGCGCATGCGTTTCCTGATGCCGGGGTGCCGGGTTCGACCCCAGTTGTGGGCCTTGCGTTGGTCTATACAGTTATAAGAAGCCGACTGTCCAGTAAGAAATGGCGAACTACTGGACGCAAATTTACCTAGTAATGTACCCAGCCATTGCTAGAGTTTGTTCTGCAACTTCCTGTAAAAGATACGCAACTAATTTTTTTTTTTTTTAACCAAACAGCCTTCCCCCCTCCCCAGAAGGGAAAATGAATAGACCCACTGTTCCTTTCCGATCATGTCATAAAAGGCAACTAATTACATATTAGCTGAAACTAGATTTGTTGGCTTCAAAAATGCATGTATCGTAACCCAGATGTAAACTGCATCATAACATGCCAACACCCTTATAAGAAACTAGATTTGTTGGCTTCAAAGCTGCATGTATCGTAACCCAGATGTAAACTAACCATAACATGCCAACACCCTTATAAGAAACTAGATTTGTTGGCTTCAAAGCTGCATGTATCGTAATCCTGATGTTAACTACACCATAACATGCCAACACCCTTATAAGAAACTAGATTTGTTGGCTTCAAAGCTGCATGTATCGTAACCCTGATGTTAACTACACCATAACATGCCAACACCCTTATAAGAAACTAGATTTGTTGGCTTCAAAGCTGCATGTATCGTAACCCAGATGTAAACTAACCATAACATGCCAACACCCTTATAAGAAACTAGATTTGTTGGCTTCAAAGCTGCATGTATCGTAACCCTGATGTTAACTACACCATAACATGCCAACACCCTTATAAGAAACTAGATTTGTTGGCTTCAAAGCTGCATGTATCGTAACCCAGATGTAAACTAACCATAACATGCCAACACCCTTATAAGAAACTAGATTTGTTGGCTTCAAAGCTGCATGTATCGTAACCCTGATGTTAACTACACCATAACATGCCAACACCCTTATAAGAAACTAGATTTGTTGGTTTCAAAGCTGCATGTATCGTAACCCTGATGTAAACTGCATCATAACATGCCAACACCCTTATAAGAAACTAGATTTGTTGGCTTCAAAGCTGCATGTATCGTAACCCTGATGTTAACTACACCATAACATGCCAACACCCTTATAAGAAACTAGATTTGTTGGCTTCAAAGCTGCATGTATCGTAACCCTGATGTTAACTACACCATAACATGCCAACACCCTTATAAGAAACTAGATTTGTTGGCTTCAAAGCTGCATGTATCGTAACCCTGATGTAAACTGCATCATAACATGCCAACACCCTTATAAGAAACTAGATTTGTTGGCTTCAAAGCTGCATGTATCGTAACCCTGATGTAAACTGCATCATAACATGCCAACACCCTTATAAGAAACTAGATTTGTTGGCTTCAAAGCTGCATGTATCGTAACCCTGATGTTAACTACACCATAACATGCCAACACCCTTATAAGAAACTAGATTTGTTGGCTTCAAAGCTGCATGTATCGTAACCCTGATGTTAACTACACCATAACATGCCAACACCCTTATAAGAAACTAGATTTGTTGGCTTCAAAGCTGCATGTATCGTAACCCTGATGTTAACTACACCATAACATGCCAACACCCTTATAAGAAACTAGATTTGTTGGCTTCAAAGCTACATGTATCGTAACCCTGATGTTAACTACACCATAACATGCCAACACCCTTATAAGAAACTAGATTTGTTGGCTTCAAAGCTGCATGTATCGTAACCCTGATGTTAACTACACCATAACATGCCAACACCCTTATAAGAAATAGAAGAATCCCACCGACGAACTATCCGACTAAAGAGTAAATGTAAATAATGAGGGCACTGACAATTTATACCTGCAGAGGTTGGTTCTTTAACGTCCTGTAAAGGATACGCAACAAACCTGTATTCTCATATTGGCAAGGCGTCAGCAGTTTTTGATAGCTTGAACGAATTATGTAACTCTTAATTAAATGGTTTCAAAACCAAGTTACGTATTTTCAGTTCTAATGTTATTTCACTTTTAACATGTGCAAGGGAAAAATGGAGAACCATAAGGACATTGAACGAAAGTTAAACGCATTTGGAAAAAAAAAAAAAAAAAATTAGTGCGAACAATGATGACAATAAAATCGAAATAATTCAAAAGGAGCCAAGGAAAAAAAAGGTGAACTGTCTGGGCAACTACTATTATCAACAGTTATAAGACAGAGAAGAGTGTGCTATATTGGATACATCCTATGAAGAAAACAGCAGAGAATCACTAGACAGGCTTTAAAATGAAAAATGAAAAGAAAAAAAAAGGATTAAGGAGGCCAGAACGCCAAAAAGAAACCCTAAGACGAATGTTGATGAAAGAGGCCAAAGCTGCTGGACTAGATTCCATCCATCAGATTGAACTGATCGCACAGTATAGAACGGAACGGAGGAAAAAAACTGCGAGCCCTATGTGTCATATAATGGCACAACGGGAATACATGAACGAATATTTCATTGAATCTAATCAGTGCATACTGCAGAATCTACATCAGTATGTGCTGACTCGAGCGTACACATACACACACATACACACACTTGCAGACAACGCGAATCTTTTCTGCCTAAATTATACAACACACATACGCAAAAAGGATCATGTTTGGATTTTTGGTTATCAAATTGGAATTGGACTCTAACCCTGTCATTGCCGTGTAACCGGTTTATTGTTGTTAATGATGTCAGGAGTGTCAAACACGTGACATCACGGTACAGACTAACTGGATGACGTCATATGACAGTTTAAAGATGACGGCGCCACTTTTGACATGCACCAAAGAGCCTCACACCCCCCCCCCCTCCACCCCCCTCCCCGCCCTCTTTTTTTCTTTTATGTTTTATTTTAGTAAAGGAGAAAATCTATAGAAATTCATTGGCGAATGAAAAGGTCCAGTAAGTTCTTGATAGGAATTGTTTCCCCCTGGCAGTTCATTGTTCCACTGTTCATTTTCACCTCGGTAGTCTTAGACTATTCACGTGTTGCGTATGCTTACACATCGCGGAACTGCTGATGCGTTATTGCAATTTACGCACCTTCTCCAAAATACAGGCTACATCATACTCCTGCTGCCGTTAGCAAATTGCATGGTGATATCCCAGTCTTTTCCATGGTACGACACCTATACTTCTGTCTGAAGGGAAGACAAGAATAGACCCACTGCCTTCACAAAAGCATGCCTGTAGAGTCGACTAATTGAGAACTTCTCTCGAAGTCAAGAGTGCATATGCCTGAGAGACTGGGAACCAACAGTCTGCATAAGCATGTCAGATCTGTAATGAAGATGTGCATGCAATACTCAGGTTCTGGAAGAGGACTAGAGTCCATAAGTGGACGAACAACCAGAACTCATCGTCGAGTTTACAGCCAGTGAACGCGAAGAGGAAGAAGAAGACTACTCGAAGATCATGAAACTGTTAAACGCATTCACTAACCTGTGAGCACTGTCCTTTGCTAGTAATAGGAGTCGCCCTAGTGGTTTTTTTCAGATCATTTCCTTGCATGCCCAATACTCCTGGTTCAGATCTTCCACGGAAGAGGGATATTTTTCCAGAGGGTCACCACAGCCTCATGATGTAGGTACCATTAATGCAGACGTCTCCAGTGTGGATTCCGGAACTCCATTTTAGGTGAAATGAGATTAGACCCCGGCCCCCTAACAAGCATGTCGTAAAATGCGACTAGTCAGGAGTGTTTGCTTTGAAGTCGGAATGCATCTGCCAGAAAGGCGAAGAACTAACAGTCTGCATACAAATAAACCAGATTTGTAATACTTGTGTACACTCGAAACTCGAAATCTGAAACAGAACCAAAGACCAGAAGTGAGTAAACAAGCAGAACTTTTCGTCACCAGAGTTTATAGTCGGTGAACGCTAAGAAAAAGAGAGTAAGTCACCAGCAAGTGAGTGACGTCTGCTCCAGAAATGATCATAAAATAAGTAGAAAACTTCCAGGGGAGCATCGGGCAAATAATGCTACACTCATATATTTTATAGACCACACCACTGACCACACTACCGACTACACTACTGACTACACTACTGACTACACTACCGACCACACTACCGACCACACTACCGACTACACTACTGACTACACTACTGACCACACTACTGACTACACTACTGACTACACTACTGACTACACTACTGACCACACTACCGACTACACTACTGACTACACTACTGACTACACTACTGACTACACTACCGACCACACTACTGACCACACTACTGACCACACCACTGACCACACTACTGACCACACCACTGACCACACTACAGACTACACTACTGACTACACCACTGACCACACCACTGACCACACTACTGACCACACTACTGACTACATTACTGACCACACTACTGACCACACCACTGACCACACTTCTGACTACATTACTGACCACACTACCGACTACACTACTGACCACACTACTGACCACACTAGTGACCACACCACTGACCACACTACCGACTACACTACTGACCACACTACTGACTATACTACTGACCACACTACTGACCACACTACTGACCACACTACTGGCCCCACTACTGACCATACTACTGACAACACCACTGACCACACCACTGACCACACTACTTACCACACCACTGATCACACTACTGACCACACCACTGACCACACTACTTACCACACTACTGACCTCACCACTGACCACACTACTGGCCACACTACTGACCACACCAATTGCCATTCAGAAATAGAATCTAACAAGTCACCTTGACACCCCTGACAATTTTTTTCTATTATAAGTCATTCTTGACCACACTAGTGACCACTACTGACTACTCAAAATATCACCTAACAAGTCACTTTGACATCTTAGACCAATTTTTAAATTTTCCTATATAAAGTCATTCTTGGCCACACCACTGACCACTCAGAAATAGAATCTTAACAAGTCACCTTGACCTCCTTGGCCAATTTTTATACTTTCTGTGTAAAGTCATACTTGACCACACCACTGACCGCTACTGACCACCCACAAAATAGCAGCACCTAACAAGTCACCTTGACATCCCTGACCAATTTGTAAATGTTCTATATAATGTCATTCTTGACCACACCACTGACCACTTAGAAATAGAATCTAAGAAGTCACCTTGACACCCCTGACCAATGTTTAATTTTTTTAAGTCATACTTGACTACACTACTGAAAGCAACTGATCACCCAGAAAATAGCACCTAACAATCCCCGATACCCTGGCTGGGTGATGTGGTCAACACCACTACCTCCATCCCTACTTCCCATGATGGCTACCTGGTTGACTTTGAGGCTGGGTCGACCTGGGAGCTAAGGTCAGTCATTCAGTCAACTAGCGTATCCTTCACAGAACGTGGCTGGAGTGCTAGAGGTCCCGGTTCAATCCTCGGTAAGGTCTGGGATTGGTTCACGTGGACTTGGACTTCTAGCAATTTCCCCCTGGTCTCTGGGAACTGAGGTCAGACGCCCGTGTGCATTGTTGAGCACGTGAAAAATCCCTTGGCAGCTGGAAATCGAAAATAGTAGCCTAACGGAGCTGCCCGGGCAAAATTTGAAGTTAAAAAATCTACCGAAAGTATTTCAGGATCCTCGCCGATGCCATAGAGTCTGTGCACTGTGCTGAGCTTCTTCGGATTCAGACTTGATAGAAGAAAAACGGAGCACTTATGGGTTACTACCCGTGTGCCATGATATTGATCCGTTGTTCAAAACCTCAAAGCTTACAGAACGTCGCACACCTCTTTCACTAGCCAGTCTTTCATCCACTTCGCTGATGTCAGTTTTGAAAAATGAGGCAGGTCGAGGTGGATTCGACACGAAGACCTTTGGTCTGCATGCGAGCCTCCTCTAGCCACAGCGGCAAACTCCATAAATTATTCTCGGGCAATTTCAACGAATGGCGTTTGTTGCTTTGGGGTTACGAATACACTTTCATAATTTCAACACATCTGGGTGGGCAGTCAGCTGCAGGCTATTTGGTAGGGTGTCATTACGTCCGCCTTTCACCGGGACCATTTGTCCCGTTTTTAAGAATAAGCTCGAAAATACAACATTCAAGTATAGTTACACCTGTAGACCATTTGAGGTTTCAAATTTTCCCATACTTTTATTGCCTGAAATGTGCTGGTGCAAATTTTCATTGTAGCATGTTTTTGTTTTTTTTTGCAGTTAAAAAGCACGTTTGATCGGTTTTGTTCTCCCTTGGCAGCAGTATTCCAAATGGTAATGTTATTGTCGAGCGGGTGACCTAAAAAGGTAGTGGAAAAAGGGTGGGGGGGGGGGGGGGGGGCTGTATGAACTGACATGCTTGGGATATTCCGTTTACGACTATAAAAATGAGTGGAATGTGCCGTGTTCAGCTCAAGATATTGTGGTCACCCTGCTGTTTGGCAGCAGCCTGCGTAGAGTCTCTCAGATTCAGATACCAATGACAACCAACCAGCAAATAACAGGGAGTGGGTCACGAAATCCACTGTTACCTTTCACCTTTAACTTCCTGACAGTCAAGGACAAGGAATATTCCAGCAGGGTGTCGATTGGCTAAATACGGCCATATATATATTTTCAAGTCCGGGTGTTTTGGTTAGGTGTTTCGTCCTTTTTAGGACGAAATTGTGTGTTATTTGAAGCCCCACCCTGGCTTTTTCCAGGGGCCGCAATATAGGCAGGCCATAAATGTGGCCAATTGTCTGAACGCGGTTTCTGGGACCTCTCCACGGCGATCCTCATCCACATGGTGGCACATAGTGTCATCGGGTGTTTATCGCTTGTGTGATGTCCTGGTGGGGTAGAAAATCAGTCAGTGTTTTGGTTTGTTTATTTCTGTGCCCGTTTTTTTTTTTTTTTTTTTATCCTGCTTGTTTTTGTTATTTTGTTCTTTTTCCCACAAATACCCTGTTTTAATTCCCACCACACGCATTTTACTGTTTCCATATCTCTGTTTTGTTACACCTCTTGATATATGTCTGCTTTTCCTTGATTGGATATGGAATGTGTTTGGGTTTTTTAGACATTGTTTATTAGTTTCTTCCTTTAATGTAAGTATCTGGTTGTTTTCAACTTAAGCCCTACGGTTCTGTCAGTAGCCGCTGCTCTCTTGCTATTGTCCTGCATGTTGAATTTAGGTGATCATTGGCACCCATAGACAGTAGGGCAGAAGTAGATTTTAGAGTACGCACTAGACGACAAAGAAAACGGGTACAGATCTCTAGCATGCCTATGCTTGCAAAGCACCATATTGCTACTGAAGAATACATACGTATTTTCGACACTAATTACAGTAGGAAATTTTGAAGAACTCCGTTAGTGCTGTTGCTTCTGTCCCACCAACAGCAGATGTTGATAGCACCATATTGCTACTGAAGAATACATACGTATTTTCGACACTTGACGTTGAAGAGATTCACACACATGTATTTGGGTTATAACGAGCCAGGTATATCAAAACTAGTCCATATAGCAGAGAAAATAACGAGAAGCCATGTTACAGCTAGCCCATATAGCAGAGAAAATGATGAAACACTGTGCCAGAGCTAGCCAATATAGCAGAGAAAATGATGAAGCACTGTGCCAAAGCTAGCCGATATAGCAGAGAAAATGATGAAACACTGTGCCAAAGCTAGCCCGTATAGCAATGAAAATGATGAAACACTGTGCCAAAGCTAGCCCGTATAGCAGAGAAAATGATGAAACACTGTGCCAAAGGGAGCCTGTATAGCAGAGAAAATGATGAAACACTGTGCCAAAGCTAGCCGATATAGGAGAGAAAATGATGAAACACTGTGCCAAAGCTAGCCTGTATAGCAGAGAAAATTATGAAACGCCGCCTGGATACATTAAGATTGAGTGAAGTAAGATAACCTGCGGCAGGTAAAAGAATGGTTATTGGGCTAACCCAAATTTAAGATGGAAAACACATGGAAGGGGTAGACGTGATGACACCGGCATCTTTAGCTACACACGAGGAGTGGACACAGTAAAGCCTCCGTTCATATCTCTGACATTTGTGTGTGTGTGTGAGTTTGTCGTGTTAACATACTATTTTATAGACTGTTCAATTCGCGGTGGATAGTCTTGTCAGTATTATGCCAGTCACCTTTACTTCCTTAAACATTTCTTTATCCTTGCAGGCCGCACATCCCTGCATTTGTTTTAAAAAATCCTTGCAGCTCAAAGATGTAATTACAGTAGGAAATTTTGAAGAACTCCGTTAGTGCTGTTGCTTCTGTCCCACCAACAGCAGATGTTGATAGTTTGTATAAAACGGATGACTCAAGTCATCTTATATCTAAAAAGAATCACTAATCTCTAACAGAGACGAAACAACCAAAATAGCTATGAAAAATCTGAAGAGATTCGTAGAAGAATTTCAGAACGATGTAAAGAACCATGACCTAGACGAAAATTACAAGGATTTTGAAAAACATCCCAGCACTTACAATCGCAAGTTAAAGCACGCAAAAATTAATCAGCTCACATGCAAATGGTTATCCACATGACTCGGTGGTCTGACGACTAAAGAAGGTAGCATCATAATGACCAGGGATGTGATTTTAGATTCATTGTCGACAGTGTGCAACAGATCTTAACAATGATTAATGGGAGAGACAATTTGGCATTAAGCAATGGACTACCAGCTTTGAAGATAGAAGCTCAGAATGCCCTCATCTGTATAACGTGTGGAAAGACCCGGAATTCAGCCATCATCAGTTCGATTCCTGGAGTGGTTACTATATCATTCGAGTCTTATATTGCCTTGTGTGGCATCTTGGTGCCGCCTTTGTGTAGCGCCTAAGCGCTTTTAAACATAAAGTCCGTTAAACAAAATATAATCATAACATGTTAGGGTATTTCCCCTGTTTATTGTTTAGTTAGCTAGTTATTAGAGCCGGGCTCTCTAGCATAGTTGGCTAAACCGGATTGCGCGGTGACCGGGTGACGAACACTTTGTGGTCCGGGTTCACTTCCGGGGGTAGGCAGAAAAGGCACATTTCTCCCAGATTTACAGTATTTATCATGGAATCAAGGCCGAAAGGTTGCGATATCCATAATACCAAGCCTAAGGGGTTAAGAACTCATGGCTTCTAGATACTAAAACAAACAAACAAGCTAGTTATTAGTCATGACTTTGCAAGTCAGAAGAGTTAACTCCCGGCTCTGTATGCATAATAGTACGCAGCGAAGTGGATGAATATTCTGTCTGTTTCTTTTCTCACTTTCTCTCCATATCTCGCTTGCCCTCTCTCTATCATCCTCTTGTAATCTCTCTCTCTCTCTCTCTCTCTTTCTTTTTTTTCTCTCTGTCTCATCTCTCTCTTCTTGTCACCTTCTCCCCCCTTCTCTCTCTCTCACCTTTTCTCTCCCCTTGTCGTTCTCTGAGTTTATCTCTCTCTCTCTCTTTCATTCTCACACATCCTATCACTTTACTCTCTCACCTTTGCCTTCTTTTTTCACGCCCTTTTCTCCCTCCCTCTCTCTCTCTCTTTCTCTCTCTCTCTCTCTCTCTCTCTCTCTCTCTCTCTCTCTTAAGTCTCTTATCTCTTCCTTTTCTCTCATCCATCTCTCCTCTATTTTTCTCTCGTCTCTCTCTGTCACCCTCTTTATATCACCCTCTCTCAGTTCCCCCCCCCCTGCTGTTCTCTCTCTCTCT